CTACGACAGGAGATCGATCGTATTTCAAAACTTCTAAACACTACAAAGATGGTACTAACCCACCTGGTTGATGCGATAGATGGAAGAATCGTCTTAAATGAGAGTCTTCGAGACGCCTTGGACTCAATTTACCTTTCCAAGGTTCCCTCAGTTTGGCTCAGGGTAAGCTGAACTGAGTCAAAATATTGTCACTAATGTTTATATGAATACTTTTTCAGATCAAAATCATACTTAGCATCGGGTTTTCAGACAAATGGCCTTTATAGCAATTCGGTCCAACGCAGGAGGATATGAGGCAGATGTGATATTTGAGTTGGAAGACGCAAACGGAATCGGTTAATCAGTTATCCAGCATCATGTTTGATTGAGGACAGATTCAGACGAAATGGGTGAATGAAACACGTGTCATATGAAACATAAGGGAATGGAGTCTGTACGAACCTGGTGTCTAACAAGTGCAAAGAAGGGCCTGGCGTGTGTTTGAGAGCAATCCCTCGGCAGCACGGCACTTATGGCTATTTCTGGAACACGACACTGGAAAGGCAAAATTTTGCTAGCTGATGGACTACTGGTTTTGACATGAGATCATGCTGACGATAAAAGGACTAGGACGTAATCAAAATGAATGTATAAAAAAATAATAACGATCGCATTACACTCTGAACTCTGAATTTCGGGTAACGCTGTCAGGAACTTTAGCGCTAAACCAAGTTCTTGCAAATGTAGCACGAACTGAGACTTAAACAAGTTTATTTTCAGGAGTTTTAACATTCTTGTGCCCCAAGAACCAGATTACCTTTGTGCTATTCGACGGTCAGGAGGCGTCATAAGGTTTCAATGATACGGTTTCAGATATCTTGGGAGGCCTCGACTTTGGGATTTTGGTTTACGGAGTTAAAGGAGAGGAACGATCAACTTTACTCTTGGCTTAGCACGGGAGCCCCACATTCCTTCTGGTTTCCTGGGTTCTTCAATCCCATGGTAAGGCAACAGATTTTATCTTATTGAATGTTGGGAGTACTTAATTTATGGAATTGTATGCAAACATGGAGAGGAGTAGTTGAGTAGAACCTCATACCTTTCTGGAACATGGTTAAGGTCCACATTGCGACACGCAGTTTGTATCCATCACCGAGAAGAATTAGGCTGGCTTACGGCATGGCTTGGATGACAGAGATGTAAAGGCTCTTGCAGTACCGAAACTCCCGCGTCGGCCATTACAGCATGATTATGCTGTCTGGGAGGATCCACGAGACGAATTACTGAACCATCATTCAGGCTGTTGGACCAAAGTCCCGCGTGCTAAGTAAACTGGAATTTGGTGCCAAGCTTAACTTGTGCGTACTCGTGGTTATTCGTTTTTGCAAATAGTAAGATGTAGTAAGCGACACTTAAATTTAACCGGCTGAAATATTGAGGAACTTTCAACTCCTATGCCGAGCGTGTACTTCTCTCAGCTACGTAATTTTATCACGAAGAAAGGCACGCAAATGATGTAAAACATGACAAATAAACACACACGGTTATTTGAACTGATTCGCGGCAGTTCTCAGTCGTGCCTCACCTCGTGGAGTTGCTTTAACTTACACACAGGGCTAAATCGTCTTTGCCACAAGAATGCCGGAAGCTCAGTTTTTCTGTCTCTCCGAATAGATTGTGAAGCATCGTGCTTCTCCAACTAAACCTGATTTAAGCACTCTTGGCAAAAAGGCATAGTATCCAAGTTCAGTTGCGTGTTTGGTTTATGCTCCGCACTGTGCGCATCCTGTTCCCTCACTGCAGTAGCATAGCCTAGCATACACGTTTATATGCATATTTTTGTTTTCCATTCCCACGTTTATTGCAATTTGTAACAAGTGCTACTTATCGCAGTTTGAAAACCACTTCTCCAAATAGCTCACTTATTCCCACTTTCCCACCATCCACATAAGTAGAGCCACTTTCAATTTGCTGTCGTCGGTGTGGGAGAACTTGTACGTGCATTGTTCATCTTTACATTCAACAGAGATCATCGACACGAAGCAGCATGCAAAAGGCTGAATACTTTATTTACCTCCATTCCAGTTGTGGCTATTTAGACTAGTTCAACTTAATAAAGCCTTGGTTCCAGTCTTGAATGAAAGGGACTATTTGTGATGCCAGCGCCTCTAAGACGTGGGTGCTGCAGTCTGGACTGCTACCGACAGCGTCTCATTCCACTGTCCCACTAAATTGAATCTTCACATTCCGTCTGCTAACCCACGACTGCCTTAAACCTTCGCAAAAAGGTTATCGAAAGTACACAAGTGGTTTTTTATGCAGCTATTGATAGTGGCTTGAAACTCAGGCAATTCAAATCTTCACAACTGGTCAAATGGCTGACTGAGTTTTCGCGCCCCACATCACCTCCATGTGTAATGTTTACTTTGCAAACACAGCACGCTGCGTTGTTGTTTTAAATACAACTTATGCATGAATAGACTAACGTGGAGAGACTCTGTTGTTGCACTGCCAATACCTGAAATCGAGTCGATGAGAAGGTGCAAAACTGGCGTGGTGCATGGAACAAGAACTCACCACCTTAGAAAGTCTATGTCACCAAAGTTGTTGGTCTCATACATTTTAGTAGCGAAATTGACTTCTATGGACTCATGTCCACTTCCTAGACGAACATCACAATTACCATGATCGAGCTTATGTTTAAGTATCCAATTTTGTTGGTAACCCTTTGCTGAGTGTCAAAAAGGATCAAACAAAGCTTCTCAATCTTACCCTTCCAATGGGACTGAGAACAAAACACAAAAGTGACTGAAGTGCAGGTGGCTTCTTAATGTTGAAAAGAAGACAACAGTGCGTGCAAACAAAAATGTCGTATCTCACTTTAATTGTGCTGTGCTTGCAGGGACTTTTGACCGCCCTTCGGCAGGAAGTTAGCCGATCACACTCCGGTTGGTCGCTGGAGTTTGTAAGTTTGCAGACTGCTGTGACGAAACGCTTGTACGAAGAAGTCACTGAGGCGCCCAAAGAGGGCATGTACATCCACGGTCTCTTCCTTCAAGCCGCCTCATGGGACCGACGTGGTAGTCGCATTGTGGAACCCCGACCCAAGCAACTCTTCGACTTCATGCCTGTCATTCACGTCACCACGAGGTATGAACTCACAGTCGAGGAGATGCGATATCAACAGCAGAAGATAATTGACGAGAATGCCATGCTTCTCGTTCAGCAAAACAACAGCTCTGTTGTTCAAAGGCTCACATCTCGCCTTGTGAGTTTTCAGCATCATCACTAGTACTGCTTGCCGAAACATTTAAATGGATTGTGGCTTATCTGTGCATGAGCATCCTTCTCCAGCCCAACCCCTCCTTTGACAATTTCACATAAACTTACATACGGAGTTAACTCTTGCGTTTCATTCCTAAAGGAGCCAATTTCTAGTTCTTCTCTCGAAGCTATCCCATCGTAAGTATGCATAGAAGTACTTCGGATTTTGCGACATTTAGCAGGAAGACTAAGGAGATGGCCTTTAAACGACATTTTCCGAGTGCTTCTCTTAAATGTGTCGTTTAGGCTGTTTTTGCCTCAGTAATGAGCAAGTTAAGTTCACATAAGGTGGAGAATTAGAAGTACATTATTCATGTCCCATTGTTGTTTCCTATTCGATGCTAGCTTCTTCCAATGCCATTGTTCATTGCATACATCATCCTAAAATTTGGCAAAGCACTGTTTTCCTCTACTCTTGAGCCTGATTTTCATCACTGAGGAGCAATCGGCATCACAGTTTGGACATTAAACTTGTCGATACGTTCCAGCACATATTTGTGCCCACAACTGCGCTAACGTTTAACTTTAAGGCCAACAAACTCGAGAATACAAATATAGCTGTTGGTAGTGCTTTAGCCTTTTTAAGAAAATTGAATCTTGCGAAATATACTTGGACACTTTGGACATCATTTTATGCACAAGTAAGGTGCGTAGATAATAGTTCCAGGTCTGATATGATCCCCTTTCCATGGTTTATAGGCACAACAAGAAGCATCGAACGCATCCATTGAAAAAATGGACATTCCTGTGTATAGAAAGGTGCGTAGGACTACAAAGAACTTCATCACTCGATTTACAATTCCCTGTTCCAAAACGGCAGAACACTGGAAAATGCGCGGTGTGGCACTGCTTTGTGATATACGCTGACAACATCCGATGTTCCGTGTTAGTTTTTAAAGCAAGTTTTTACCCCTAATGTTTATAATAGGTTGGTTATTGTCGTGCGGGAGCTACAATAAGAGACGATGGGTGGATCTCGGGAGGCCCGGAAGCGCTCTGCTTAAGGCAGTTAAAGTAGTACTTTATAAAATTGGTAAGAAGAAAATGTCCCCCTAACTTATTCCACTCGCCCTTCAAGTAAATGTTTGCAAGTCGTCATTCTACTTGCCGTACCATTGCTGAACTTTGCGCATCGTGAACGACTTCACGTCCATTTCTCAGGTCATGCCCGCCATCTTCCATTCAATGATTTCTTGATAAATGGGGTAAATAGCACAACGGCTATTAATGTCAACATGCCAAATGCCTTTCTGCTATGCTTATAAAAGTGATAGGCGAATGGCGTGGCAAATAGCCTCTCATCGTGATCCTACTTTTGCGGATTGGAAGAAATTTGTCAGTCAAATGCGTTAAGTTACGTCAACACCGAGAGAATGGCATTGATTTGACAGCTCATTCACAAACGTCTGGAGCGGTTTCGTCGTAAAGCGAGACCGATTACTCTTGGTAACTGAGGCAATGAAAAGTTGTACCTGCGCCACTTATGCTAGTCGAAAGGTGTAGTGAGCAAAAAATGGGTCTGGACACGCGTTTTAAATTCACACGACTATAAATTAAGAAGATTATCTAAATAAGTTGTTTGGGCTCTTGTTTAGGTGGTGTGGCTTGCACGTTAACACCGTTAGTGTCTTTCGCAGAGCATGCAAATGCGCTTATTGGTGAGTGTTCATGGAGTTTATTAAAGAGGTGCCGAGGCAACCCTCGAATGGGGGATAGTTGGCAATAGTGCAGTTTACGCTGGAAGAGGGTTGAATTCAATGAAATTTATGTTTGGGTGGGTGTTGGGTGCATTCAGTTTTGTGTCAGTATGCAGAAAGGAACGGTATAATCGGTCACTGGAAGCGGTGCAAAATAAAATTAGGCAGTGCTTGCTTATTTTATGCTATTTTGTTTGTATCGCTGCATTAAAATCTACAGCTTTATGGCTATTCATGATCGTAGACCCGTATCAACATCACAGCAAGAAAGTCATTTCAATAAGTGCTCCGAATTTTTGCTGTGCGTCTTGGCCAGTCAACTCCGCTTTGAAGTTTGCCGGATTTCCATTGCCAGCGGGTCGGATTACAAAAGTTAGATTTTCAAACAGCGGTTCGCTGTGGCACAAACAGCAGTGAAGGAAGACCGACTTTATAATTGAGCCAAAGCAAAGGCTAAGGCCCAATGGAAAAGAATCAAGGCTCGACATATGGTTCCGAATGTACTACAAATTATAGAATTGAAGTACGTTTTGATAAAAAAAAGCAGTAGTGATGTGTCTTTCACTTCTTCTGCCATGCTAATTATTGCATCCAGGACTTCAATTTGGCAGCATTGGGGCAGACGCAGGTCAATCCAGCAGCACGAACAGGAGACAATACAAAATACGTGAAGTTGTATTGAGACACATGGTGGAATTGTGATTGTAAGTCGAATTTCCGCTCACTTCACTAATGACAATGGTTGTGGCTCGAATGGTTGTGCGGTCACAATGCAAAAGGGAGTGTCACTCGTCTGAGATGGGCATGCTACAGAGTAATGGTTGCTATGCAAAGCCTTAGTCGAAGTAAGCTTGACTTCCATGCTCTGTTGGGTAGGTAAGGAAACGCATAACTAACCCCAACTAAAACATCATGCCAAACAGTTTCTGACTGAGTAAGACTTCAGCGTTGATAGTGCCGTCTGGAAGGAGTTTTAGTGTCCTATCCCCTCTGGGCAACTAATAGTGGAAGATTTAGTAGCCCACCTACCATCCTCCACCGTGTCAATAAAGAAGGATATTGCCATCTAGATGCTAGCGTTTGTGGAACAGTCTTTACGATTGTGCATGGCCAAACGATTAAATAGTTAGTTCATACTGCATTCTGCCCAAATGCACAGTGGTATCACCGCTCTTACGATGCTTTGCCCAGTGGAAAACATGCTATTTTATTTCTGATTGTTTTGCCCTCCCTTTATCTGAGCGATAGAGGCAGAGATTTTATGCAAGCGGTGGAGCCATGTGTCCATCTGTCGTCTCTGCACAGCTATACATTTACCATGGATGCAGGCCATGAAGCGATGTGCACTCAATCCATACCTTACTTGACCATTTCCACATGTATGGCGGCATTGGTGGTAACGTGAAAGCGATTTCATAAACTAAATTTGAGTAGATTGTGCCCCCAAAATTTAGTCATATGTGCTCAGACGAAGTTAAGGTTTATGAGGCTTAACGTCTCAAGAAGGTCCACTGATTAGCTTAAGGAACGAACATCAATCAGTTCCATTTTTCCTCCAACAGGATAGCCTACGTAGTGTTAACTTTGAGTAGATACTGCTCCCCATTCCCTCAAGTAGCACGACACCTGTAGAGTTGTCCAACTTGATTGGCGCTATGTAGTGCCAAGAATGTAAATCTGTAAGCCTACTTATACTATATAAGTAGAGGCGGTAACGGAGAGGTAAAATCCTTCAGAGGAGCTTCTAGGTTATTTTGAATCAACTTTCTAGGTATCATTACCAATACTTGTTTTAGACACCATAATAGTACAACTTGCGCGGAAGTAAGAATCCTCATAATAGGCCTTTGGAGGCGCTTCGCGGCAAGCTGCGTGACTGGAAGTCGCGTTGGCCTGCGGGGACATTGGAATCATGAACCAGAGTAGACACCACACCTCTCTCCACCTTAGAGGAAACGTATTAATGAAAAACCTTTTGGCACATCCGATTGGAGAGTGAATGAGAATTGTGACGGATTTAATTAAGCCATTTTTGTTTAGACTGTTTAGCTAGCGCTCTTTATCATCCTTAACGTGCCCCGCTTGATTTGCTGAGGCCAAAGCCTACTTTCTTCGTATTGCCTCACCTTTATGTTGCTTCACGAAACCTCTGTTGTTCATCCTGACTGCAGGTGACAGGATTGCAATTTCGACAACATCAATGCTGTCTGCAACTAATATTGAGGTTCACTGGAAAGCGTCTTCATTTAGACCAATTTGCACTTCTTCAACAGGTTTATGTCAAGCCACGCAATAAAAATTAACGTATTCTGCAATCGGTGAAAACACTCCAATTTGCCACGCTTTGTTAGCATGCCTTGAAGCAGGATAATCCAATTCGATGGAGGCTTCTACCATTAGTCCCCTTTACTGCCGTATTGTGCAGCCCCTACCCCCAACACTTGCAACGAAATTAAAGTAAACTCAAAGTTCACAGTCAAACGCATCTGCAAGTATGCGAAAGTTGCTTTGCAGTCTTTTCATTAAAAGCAGATTAAAGGGTTTGCGTTTTAACGAGGAGTACGCATGCCACTTCCGGCCGAATACATGGAAACTTCGACTTAACGATTACCGTGACATATGTTTTCAAGACTTTCTTCTTTTGTTTTTCCATGTTTCTTGCAGGCGAATTTAAACCACAAGGAAAACATGAATACAAGTGCATAACTCTAATTCTGGGTATCCTAAAATGCTGCACTTCTACTCTAATCACCTTACGACACTTTGGGTGTTATGGGGGAAAGCCTAAAGGTGCAGTTAAAATTTGCCGCCTTGTAGTGCTAGCATCCCATCGTCGAGTCGTATGGAGTCTTGTGGAATTCCAGTCAAACGGGTCTGCGCCTGACCGAACTATCCAGCAGCTTAGCGGCGACAAAGGAACTACAGTAGTGGATGAGTTGCAACCTTTGCAAGGTTTTTATCGTGCCAAGATTACTCCGACATCTAAAGACACTATGATTGTTACGAGTAATTTGACTTCATTTATAGCCGTTTGTTTAAAAATTGGGTACCCACTTCAAGTCAGTGACACCTTTATTGTCCTCTAGCTCCTTGTCTAAACAAAACTTGAATAGCGAACCCGAGTGACGCCAGCGACAGGTGATGCAGTCGGACAGCTCATAGTTACGACAGGTGGCAGATTGGTTGGTTGACTAGCGGGTTTGCTGTGTGTTTGGCTTCGGCCATTTTTAGCTTTTTTGCTGCTCAGTAGCACAAGCAGTAGCGCTAACTTTGCTCCAAAATGAGTGCTAGGGCCGGCGGCTGTAACAGAGACAAATTTCTATATTGAAAAGTGAACTTAGCTTACACCTGGCTCTAAGTCTTCAAAAGTACCAAGTAATGCTGTAATACTTGGTTAATGTGACCAACTGATGTCTGATGGCGACTTTGGGTACTCGTGGGCCTAAATTAATGCCTTCTTCCATCTACTGAGAAGTCTTGGAACGCTGGACATGCAGACTCGATTCCTCTAGCCTACACATTTTTTGTTGCCCTTTTGGCAAACAGTTCCGTCTTCACTCTCGCTGAGTTATGCAAAGAAGCCTTTCTAGTAACTAATGCTTAAAACACAGTCATGCTAATGGAGCATGATGAGGCCAGAGATATGCCAACCCCTAAGATGCTAAAATGCTTTTATTTATGCGCATCAACCAGTCCTCTGCTACCGCGAGGAAACTACACACCTACATCAACTTCCAAAGCCATGCCCGGCCATTCGGTGGGGCATTAATCAAGTAATTCTTCACTTATCATTTGCAAAAGCAGAGACCCACAGATTGTGGGACCGGTCTCAATTTAACCAATTTATCATTGCATAGCTTTTGCTTCTCCAAGATGCGAGACGGAATGTGCGGCAGTAATATTTCAAACAACCTTCCAGATGCCAGCATTATTAAAGCAAATTCCGCCTCCCCCTCCACTCCACATTCTTGTAGGTCATGACCCAAGGAGAATGGTGACAAACTTAAGGCTGTTCCAAAGAGCACAACACTTCTTTCGTGCTATCTTACGGTAAAATGTGCGTGAAGTAGATCAAATTTGCGAATCACAGCGCGACATAACACATCTCCAGATCATGCTGCCCTATGCCAAAGTTGTAGGCGAATTTTGAAATGCTGCATCTTTTTGTCACAGCTCGACCTTTCAATCCCAGCCGGAAGGGCAACGCGTGGAATTCCAGAAGTGCCTTGAATTGCCGGTGGAACCATCCTAGCAAAACTCCTTTACTCCCAAATTCCGCGTTCAGAACAGAATACCATTTAACTCCATGCTCAAATTTTGGCGTTTCCTCCTGTTAACTTAAGGGACCTGATTTGCTCTTTAGCTTCCGTCTAGTGAAGCAGCCCTGCCAATCCTTATGTTCATTCCTAAGACAACCAGCTACAATAAAAATTTCGATACAAAGTCGGTGGTAGGGATGACAGTGGACAAAGTCGTCACACAAATGGGTTAAATCAAAAGGTCAAACACAAAGGTGCACAAAACAAAACTATCAACAAATAAGTCAAAAATTTTGTAATAGCCACTTTCTTACTGTACACAAGTCTTTTCCTTACGCTTAATTTTGCTTAACCGTTTTGGACAGAATTTTTGCAGCATTCAACATAGAGTCTGTATACATATCTCCAAGGGACCCAGCAATCCACTATAAAAAAATAAAGAATTGAAAGAATAAGGTGCAAAGCCAGAAAGGTCTTTTACATGCTGAAACGCCACGTAGCCCAATTCTTCACAGTGGTGTAGGTCCTATCGACAACATCGTTAACTACGAACTCCTTGATTGCTTTGCCGACCTTCTTAGCAGTATCCTTGACCGCTCTCCATACTGCTGACGAAAGAACGGCCGGACTCAACTTGGAGTTTTCCTCTACCTCGATTGTCACTAATGATGTTGCCTTCGTTGATGGAGCTGACAGGGTGAGCTGAAGGAAAATACTTGTCAGTGTCACCATCAGCGTGAGTCCTGGTGCCATTGTCCCTGTCCCAGTGTCATCCAGCCAACTGTGCGATTCCGCATTAGCGCGGTACACACTTAAATGCATATCGTACTGATGAGTGGGCGCGTGTTTACATTTTCAGAATAAACTGCCACATGTCTTTGACCTTGAGTATCAAGTAAAACTCGATTTCACTCGAACGACCGAGTCGGAGATTGGTTTCAATGTTTCATATATTTAAGACGCGTTTGAACGCCATATTTCAACGGTAGCATTTCGGCAACTTCACTGATCATTTGTTGGGACAAGATAACACTGTCGTCTCTTCTACTCTACCCTGCAACTCCTTCACCTCAATCTTCATAAGGAAAAGGGTTGCTCTTAGAAGGTTCATTTGGCATCCCCAAAAGAGGTGCAGTCTGGAGAGGAAACTGAATACAGTTGCCACACCTGGTTCGCTGCCCTAACCTTCCTGACATAGCTGCTACACGCAAAACCATCCAAGCACGCGATGCTAAGAGTAGATGCAGGAGCCTTCCAACTGTACACACTTTCGTGTTCAGCGACAAGACACGTACCAGCAACTACCACAATAGACAACCTTCATCGTGCTTTAAGAAAGAACATGGAAACAACCACGCAATCAATGTCAGCATCTAGTGGTATTCAATAACAGTGGTCAAATGTGGCATAGCAAAACACTATCTGTGATCCATAGCAATTCACGTGTCAACATATCTGTGAAAGCATTATTCACCAAAAACCTCACATTAATCACACAAACAGCACAAAACAGAAACACCAACAACAACAACAACACCGAAACTCACCACCTCAGACACGCCGCCATCACATCTACGTGTTCCTGCATGCACTAAAAGCATTAACTCATTATTAGTGTATTCTTACAACTTTCTTTATAATTTTCTCTTTTCTCTTTGCGAATAATTTTACGTGTCGCAGCATCAATTAAAGCGTTTAGCAAAGACAATAACACAAATGTTGAACCCTTAACGAGCTGCTTTTTACACTTTCCCAGCTTGCTGTAGGTACAAATGTCCCGTGAGAACAAAATGGACAAATAATTGGCTAACATCTACCAGGTTCCGTGTTTCATGCCTATATTTTTCAAAATTAAACCAAACACCTGCTTCCAAGCACCAAAATATTTTTGAATTTATAGCGTCTCGAGACTTCTCGCCGGACAGAAGAAGGCAGTAAGTAGTGTAGAAAATGCCTGCCTATCGGTCTTCCATTGAATTGCAAACTTCAAGCGAGAGTTGGTTGCAGACGAGTTATTTGGCATTAGATACAGAAAGAATGGGGATTGGAATACAGATGGGCCGAATAGGAGTTATCGACGGGTGAGAGACTCCTCACTGTCCTCGCGCGCGTGATTCGCGTTCCCCATTGGTTCCCGCCTCTCCCCTATAAAAAGTCCACTCAAACAAACTAGTATATTTTGCACAGCCCCCTTCTCTTTCAAGCACCGTCCCCGGTGCTGACCAGTAGGGTTCCATCGCGTGGCCGCCCTTTTTCTGATGGCGTATAGCCTTCGGCTTCGTAACCTACTGGGGGCGGGCCCGTATATGACCTAATCTTGTTGTGATGTACTGTTAGAGGGCGAGTAGCGACTTCCGCATTGCAAATGAGATCATTCGTGGGAGACCGGACTTTGATTAATCGGTAGGATTCCCTTCTCCAGGAGTGATGGAATTTACGATGGGTTTCTGGCGGGGCAATCGGGGGAATCGCCCTCTTTAAAGACATTTGTTCGGCTCTGTCTGTCGTAGGACCTCTTTTGTTTAGCTTATGCTTTCTTCAGCTGTCTGCGCGCATATCAAACACTATCCTGAGCTTTTCCTTCAGTCTCGTTATCAATTGACGGTATCTTACGAGGGAGCGAAATGTGGTAAGGGACTCTCATTTCACGCCCCTGAGCACCTTGAATGGTGAGACTCCAGTCGAGGCGTGAGTGGAGGCTCGGTAGGCGAAGACGGCCCATCCTAGGTATAGGTTCCAATCCTCGGGCTGCACCTCTCTGATAAAGGTCTTCAATAAGTCGACAAGAGTACAATTTTTCCTCTCTACTTGCCCATTGTCCTGAGGATGATCCGGCGTCGTACACGTCTTACGGGTTCCAAAGGCCTTGCACAGTACTTTGAAGAGACTACTTCCAAAGTTCGCCCCTTGTTCGCTATGTACGGAATCAGGCACGCCATTTTGGCAGATTCAACGATTGAAGGATGCGGTTGCTACTGTCTCAGCCCCCTGTGCCTGTAATGGCTCGGCTTCCGCGACCTTGGGGAAATAGTCTACCATCACCAAAATATAACGGTTCCTTCTCAGAATCGTGGGAAGCGGACCTATTATGTCTATGCCTACTCGCTTCCCTGGAAAGCCCGTGGACTGCAGAAAGGCTGCAGAAGGGCTACCGCTGTGCGAGTTGAGTTCTTCAAGCTGGTACACGTGATCGGAGGAATCCGATGTCAGCGGCGCCGAGCATCTTCCTGGCCCCCCCCCC